ACCTCCAACTCCGCCACTGTAACCGCCCCCCCCTCCCCCGTGAAGGGCCCACGAAAGGCGTGGATGACGTTGAGGTCCACGACAGGGGTGCGGACGAAGCCCCGGACGGGGGCGCCTTTCGCGCAGGAGAAGCTGTGCGCCGCCCCGCGGCTGATCGCGTTCGCCATCGCCACCTCCGACCCCGGCGGGGCGCAGAGGACGACGTCCAGCCGTTCGCGCGCGGCCTCGGGCTGAGTCTTCGGGGGGCTGTCGGGACCTCCCGCCGTGGCCCCCACCCCGGCGACGGCCTCGGAGACGAATTTCTCGACGAGGTCCGGGTGGTGGAGGCAATTCGTGCGCGACGCCGTGGGCGGGAGGGCGGCGATGGTCAGCGCGAGGAAGCCGCGTGCCTCGGCCTGGGGTGCTTGGACCAAAAGGGAGATCGACCCCTCAGGCTTCACACGGGCGATTGCCTCGGCGACGGTAGGGCCGTAAAAGGGCAAGCCCCGCACAAAGTCCCCGTTGAGCTGGGCAGGGGTGCCGATAAGGAGGATCGAAGGGGCAAGTCGGGTGGAAAGGGTGAGGGTCGCGATGTCCGTGTAGCGGATGTTCGTCTTGAAGTCCACACAAGAGGTGATGTAATCCAAAATGGTGGGCTCCTCAAGGACAGAGGTGGGGTGTTGGGGATGTGCGTCCATTTTGTGTATGTTTGTGTGGGGAGAGTTTCACCTCTTTCGTATGAGTACGTAGATAGAGCAAATATAGATATTCAATAAGGTTTGTAATAAAGGAAAATACTAGACCGAGAAGGGTAAGGATAAAATTTTTCATGGATTGTAAAAAATGGACATCAGCTAGAAGCGTATCAAAGAATGAGTTGGTGTATGAAGAGTACAGGAAAAATCGGGAAAATGGTATTTTTATACAAATCCAGTTATGTTTACCCATTGAAAAACAAATAAATTTATTTTTAGACACGATAAGTCTAATCTCAACTTTAATATGTATTACTCTTATTCGGTATGGGTATATCAAATTATAATATAAACATTCATAAAAAGGTTAATCCCTTATTGTGAAAATAAATATGAAAAAGAAGCTAAAATAAAAAAATACAGAGGTAGGATGCCTGTATGCATACTCACGTATACAAGCATGTGAACGTGAATATGCTAGAGCACGTGCTAAAAAGATTCGAGTGACAAGTATGCTAGAAGATTGATTATATGTACGTTTATATAAATATATATATAGATAAATATATAAATAGGTAAATAGATATCCTGTTAAACTAACTTTAATCGGATTTTCAGGTATATGAATGTTAATCACGATATTTTGACGTATAATTTTTGATTTTAAAAATAAAGCACAACTGTCTCCACATAAATGCGTGCATAAAGTATATTACTAAGTGTTCAATTTGTTATTCTGCCTTCCTCTGTTCACACTCATCGATATATATATAATGGGAAGAATAAAGATAATGGTCTATTATACAAAATAGGCACTTGAATAAACAGGAACTCGAAAGCAGGTTTTTCGGATAGCATTCAGTGTTAACATTTTCAGGAAAAGTGATTATATGATAAAACACATACCCACATAAGTAAGCACCTAATATGCGAACTTTCATATAAGTAGCTAAAAATATACGAGGATTTAAATTCCTCCGGAACTTTCAATATTTCTGATCAAGTAAAAAAAACTATGGTATTATATAACGTAAATATATAAAATACATATCAATGTATTAATTTAAGGATTTGTCTGTTGTTTTGAAGAATAAAGAGAAAGCAGATGAAAATTAATTCAGCAAAAAAGTATGAGAATGATACTGACACTACCGAAGAAGAGAAGTTAATCAAAAAAAATTAAAGAATGGAAAGGGTAGACACTAAACAACCCAGCATAATTAAAATTAACAAAATTAATAAAGCAGTAGAATACTAGTAGGAAAGAAGAAGAGAGTGTTCAAAAAGAATCGAATGTACAAAGTACTACAAAGAAAAAGGAAAAAAGAATGCGCAGCCTGAGTCTCTGTTGAATCCCTCCCCCTACACAAAAAAAAAGATGTAAAGGGGCAACAAATAATAGTGTCTCACCACTAGCCATTGAAACCATTATCAGTAATATCTTTTTCATTTAATGAAAAATTCTAACGATAGCACGCTGTCGTAACGGTTGAACAACTTTCTTGTTGAAAATTGCTCACCTGAGGACTTTTCCACTCAAACCCCGTGTCTCCCTGCGTGGCGGTTACAATTTTTTTTTGCAAGCCCTCTATTTAGAGACTTGATTAAAACTAACATGAGTAGATTTTAAGATATGTAAACTGGTATAAATAGGCTCAACCATGGAAAAAATGAAACTAATAAAAATGACACTTTTTAAAACGATATAATTTGAAATCGCAAGAACTCATCTATAAAGCAAATTGACAGAAAAGTATTGGTCAAGCGGACTCTGTAGTGTGATTTGAAGTAATAAATAAAAAATGAACTGCAGAAACAAAAATAGACAAAATAAATCAGTCCTCTGAAGAAAAAAAAGTCATCACGACTGTAACATGGATATATACACATAGTAATATTTACGGGCATCAGATCGCTATAATAAACAGCGTTAAATATGGATATACATATATCTATATACACATTTATATGTATATAGATATAGATATATATTCAGACCCTATACTCTTGTTTTAATTTCGACACAACGAAAAAAACTGTTAATTAAAGTACTGTTGTAAAAAAAAGTAACTGAAAGAGATACTGTGTAGGAACAAACACTTCGCATTGAAAAAATATATCATGAATATATGATAAGTATTGAAATTCAAAGCAAAAATAAGAGAAGTAAAAAGCTATGATGATAACAATAATAACCTGCTACATGCACCCTACAAATATAAAATTATAGAAATGTTTTAATAGGGACTAGATGTCACTGATACTTCTACTAAATATAATCTATGAATTTTTCAATATATGGTAATACATAGTTTATTTCATTATTATTAAAGTATTACAAACTATAGTTTGAATATATTTAAAAAAATGACCCATTTGTTAATTTTCGTTATTTGGAAACACTATGTTACCAAACTTCCCGACAATTAAAAAAAAACGATTTCATTGAAACATCCACAGTTCACTGTTATGAGACAGAATGAAATAAGAATAATAATAACAAATAGGCGCAAAATACAAAATGCTACGCCGCAAAGGCAATAAAAAAAACTTTTTTATACTTTTTCGGATTTTTTTGGCAATAGTCGTTCTCTTGGATGAGTTAGGGTCGAAAAAAACATAGGGAAAAATAAAAAGACCGTTAGCTATGGTTATTATACGTTAGTAAAAGCATATATATCCTTACTGCTAAACTACTATAAAATCCTGTAGTCTTATCCGATTCAATTCATGTATATACTTATCCTTTAAATTAGTTTTACATATAGATTATTTAGATTCTTAGTAATATATACAAAATATATATACAACGATTATTGTTGTTACTATTGTCATTGAAAAATAAGGACAATAATTTTCAATGGGGAAAATATTCTAGATTTTATGCTTGTTGTTTTTTTGACTATGACAACGATAAGAATGGGAAAGGGTAGAAGATGTAATCAGCACTTTGTAAAGCTTAAATTACAACATGTAACGCTATTTTCTCTTTAAATTCCCCCCTTTTTTCCATCTTGTGAAACAAATTTAATGCAGGTAGGAAAAATCGCATCTTACCTGGGTCGCTTCATAGAGCTAAATGGGAAAGAAAGATTAAAAAAGTAAAACATCAAAAAAAAAGTGAAGTAAGTTTTGGCTTGAGCCTGAAACACTACTCTGTCTCGGGATCTTACTGTTGATATTTAAAATGAAATAGAAAAAATAGCGTGTTTTTCCTTTTGTATTATATCATTTTCAGATTCAACGTATAATATGATCCAGTAGGTTTCTCAAATATAACTATCCCCCTTGAAATATTGACCCATAGTAGATTACATTACATAAAATATAACTTTGACATATACTGTTTTATCATGGTTATTCCTTAAAAAGGGTTTAGAGGCAAATGATTTGTGAATTGCAAACACGTCCTATAAAGTGGTTATTACTAACAAATATTCCTAAACTTCTGTGGCCGTAATGCTATGTGGGAAACCCAATAAGCTCACAACGTAAAAAAAAAACCTACATCACCAACGTAAATTTCCATTACTGGTATTTTTTTTGTTGCTGTTAAAAAGAGAATGCTACAGTGAGGATAAAGTACGACTCCTTAAATGCCACAAGAAAGAAATAGATAATGATGTGGATCTTATGGCGTTACAAGGCTATTGAACTGCGGTTCTCGTACTCGCTGTGATTAATCAACTCCTAAATCAATTATGAAGAGCATTTGCATTTCCCCCGTTGTGACACTTCACACCAGTACCACTGCTGTTAATATTAGTATTGCTATTATTAATATTATTGACATTGCTCACATTCATGCGATTAGCATTCCGTGAACGGTGGCGATCAACGGTAGTGATAGGTAGAATCGCATCAAAGCAGCACGGCGCTGGATCGGACGGGATGGAATCCCGCCCAACGGAACGGGAGAGTTCCACCACCAAAGGCATACAGGGGAGACCCCCGGTGAGGTAGTGTCGGCTCTGCTGCGGCAGCCGTCGAATCGCCTCACAGTACTCCTTCAAGCACTTGTACTGGTTGAAGGTGTTGGCGTACCAGAAGCCATGGCGATCCATCAGCACCCGACAGCGAAGCTTCTGCACGAGTTGATTCCCCACCCGCGTCCGAACGTTGGCCACGAAGGACGTCTCGGAGCGGGGCTCGACGGACATGACGGTCGCGACGTCCACCCCGCAGGTCGCGGCGATCACACGGTTGATGATCCCCCGTTTGTCGCGCAGCTCACAGGGGAACATCTGAAAAAAGATCGTCACAAGGTCCGTCGTGGTGGGCAGGGCTCCAGTTGGGGGCAATAGAGTAGGAGGGGGAGGGGGAGGGGGGGGGGGGGGTCGATGAGGGCTGCGGCTGCGACGTCAAAGAGGACTTGATCGCGACAGGGATGATGATGGTCAGAGGGGTGGGGGAGTTCTCGTAGTAGGGGATGTAATGCGTGATGTCGTGCATCCTGCCATGCACATTCGCGTACTTGCGCTGGTCTTCACTGATTAAGGAAGTGTTAGTGATGAGGGGGCTGGTGCTGCTAGCGAAGGTGGCCGCCGCCGCTGCCGCCGCCGCCGCCTCTGGGGAAGGGCCCCCCACGGTTTTGGGGGGAGTCGCGTCGGTGGTGATGGTGGTGGTACTGCTCAAAGCACGGCTGCCACCGGTGGCGTTCGGGGTGGTAGTGGTATTGGTGGAAACAAGCAGGTAATTCGGGGAGAGGGTAAGCGTGGTGTAGGAACTAAGTGGGCTGAAGTTCATCGAATTGGAGGAGGTGGTCGTGTTCTGGGATATGTTCTCGTAGACCGTGGTCAGCGGTGGAACGATGCAATCCCGCGGTATCCTACTGTGGAGGGTCGAGGCGCTATCTCTTCCTCCCTCGCCATCATGACTCGAATGTGGGTGGCTTTCGTTGAGGTTGGGATAAAACACATTTCCGGTGGACTGCGTGGAGCTGAACACTAATCTGCCCCCTCCATCCACTGCTGTCATCATGGTGAGATTCACTGTGTTCGGGACAGGATACGACGTCTGCGGCTGTGTGGTGAGGAAGAAGTAATTTTGTTGAGGTGCAGGAACGTTATACAAGGGGGTGGGCGGCTGTGTGGATGGCGTCACGGGAATCAACGTGAAGGTACTGGTAGATGAGGGTTCTTTGTTTTTCGGGCTCTGAGGGCTTAAGTTGTCAAGAGAAATTGCCATCATTGTTGGCTTTTCGGCTGTCCAGAGTTTCGTCCCCGTCACGGGGGAAGCCATTTGGGAGGGAACCTCTTGCTGAGAACTGTTAGGGTCAATTAACACGTTGCCAAGTTTTGGAACCACACGGGACGCAGACACACCCCCAGTGTTAGCTAAAGGATCTGCTAAATTCGAGTTACAGCTGGGGTTCGTTGTGTTCACTATACCTGAAGCGAGATGAGGTCCATTCAAGTTATTCCGCGTTGTGTAAAGCATGGTATTGTGGGGATCCACCTCCGTGTTTGCCGCGCACGACGGAAAATGGCGAGGATAAAATGACATAAAAGGAGTGTTGCGATCGGCAGACGACGCGGCGAGAGGCTTTGAGATGGTAGGAATCTGAAAACTTCCACCACTGCATGCATTCTGGTGAGAAAAGCAATGATTGCTGTTGAAAGGCGGATGCCTGAGTGAGTGAGCCCCGTTGTCTTTCGGAGTGCTGGCTTGTTTGCCGCCGCCCAAGGAGTAAGTGCCGTTCCCCACCGGCTGCGTTGAGAAGGGCATCCGGGGCCGGTGAAATGCCTCGGTCTTAGCGTCATGGGGAACCGCTCGGATGGTCTGAGGCGCGTACTGCCTAGACGACGGCGATCCGTTGGTGAAAAATACACCGTCGTTTTTGTCATTATTTTCAGGGATGGTTCCACATGGATAGCACACGTTTGAGGTTGCTTTTTGCGGTGTTAAGACCACAGCCTGATGGGAAGCCGTTTGGTTATACAACGACGACGACGGCGGGGCGTTAGGCAACATTATTTGCGTCTGCGGTAAATCAAACTGACTTGAAGTCGTCGGCAATGTCAGTTTCTGCTGCTTCGGCTCTATCGAATGATGCTTTGGAGCTTCGTGATGCTCACCGTGTTCAATATTGGTTTGAGATAAAATATCATACGAGATACGCGGGTGTGTCGTTTTTCCAGCACCAGCCCCATCATGGCACGCTTCCAATCTACCTACCACGTTGTTAGCGCAGTGAACATCTTCTTGAGCTTTACAAGACATCTTACGCAGAGCAAAGACGCATGGACAGGTCGTTTGATGATGATTCAACGAAGTCTCATCTGTCTTTTTACACCTACCTAACCAAAAACTATTTAAAAGGTCATTCTTAGTGAGCAACTCCACATCCTCGTGCTCTACAGTATTCTGGAGTTGGCTTCGTACGTTAAGAACCTCATTTTGGGTATCGATTTGACTGATGGAGACCCCTTTGTGTCCATTCAATGAACAAGACAAAAATAAATTAGAATTGCTATCTTGCTCTCCATCAAGACTGTTTCGCGTAGAATTACTGCCTCTATTGCTATCCCAATCCACATTTTCTTTGATGAAGAAAGAATCGCTCTGGTTCACATGAGATAGGTTTTCACCGCCGGCCGTCAGACCTGAAGCATTTGAATGGAAGGCACCTTCAGCTTTAGTGCTAAACACCACATTTCGAAACCCTTTCAGTACTGAAACCCCGTTGAAATCGCAGTAATTTTCAGACATAGTGAGAACTCCTTGAATGTATCAATTTTTTATTTCCAATGCACGAATGTGAATTATGTGTTCGCTTACACTTTTTACCAATTATTGTTCACTTTTCTGACTGAAGGTAACTTCAGAAATTTGTATTGCACAATTTGCCTCGCTCACTCACTTTTTTGAAGGGGGTGGTTTTCTTTATTTCGCGGCACCGATGTTTTTCGCTAAAATAAATAAAGCGTAAATCGATGACCCCCGACAAAGTCCTTAAAATTTTAAAGAAATATAAAAAAATCAGTAAGCAACTTAGAATACTATATACGTAAATTGGTATTATTTTTGATATTATGAATAAAGAGAAGTGAACACAGCCTATGAAAAAAAAGATCCGAACAAGAAGTTCGATGGAATAATAGCAAATTCACGTATGCAATCAATATGTATTTTTCCGAAAAAAAATTGCTCAAACACCTCCTAAATTATAATAATATATGAAAATAAATCCTATTTTAAGAGCTACTATGTGGAGCACAGCAAACACCAATTATAAAAAAAAAACAGCGACAAAAAGAGTGAAAGAAAATACTAATAAATCAAGAAAGAAACGATGAATGCCCAAACCTTTGGAAATTCTCCGTTTTTTTGATAATTTACTGTTTCTAATAGAATTTCGTATTAGAAACGACAGACGGTAACTTATCTAAATACTACTTTAAAATGTCGTGTCCTTTTTATATACGTGTGTAATAGCCTGTCGAGAATTGAATAAAAAATAGCTTGCTTGTGATTTATAGTTCTCTCTTAAGTAATTCAGCGATGAAAGAGCTAACCGATGACTATCGGTGATTTTTTTACGTTCTTTAAAGAAAATCAGAATACTAAGTAATAGATGCGTTAGAAATAAACAGTAAAACCTATGAAATGTATTCCTAATGCCTTTGAAATAACTAAAGGAAAATATATTAAGAAATACTGCCACAAACACTAAAGTATTCTTTTTTTTTGTATAAATCAGTATTAAAAATACAAATTATGAAAGAAATGATATATATGTGCTAAAAGTAAAATAAAATCAAAAGGAAGGATAATAGGGAATATAAATATGAAAGCAATAGAAATTGTCGAAAAAGGCACAGGAGGGGGTTATGATTTTATATCATTTTTGTTATTACTTTAAAATCACCCCCCACAGAAAAAAAAACTTACCCGTGGTAACTTTAATAGCTTATAATGTATGAATCATATAAACAAATAATTAGATATGAAATTTAATCTGATACATTACAGACCAATATAAGACAGATGAACGAACAAGCATAGCTATAGTATTTGTCATTTTTGTATCCCTTTAAAACGGACTCTAACTCCTCAAAAACCTGCAATTTGAGTCTATACCTTGATTCCCCTATACCCTTTTAGTAGAGATCATCTTCACTTGAAAATCCCGAGTACCCTCGCCTGCCTCCCCCTCTCGATCCTCTGGGGCGGTGTCGATAATCTTCTTGCCGCCCACTCCTCCAGTCATCACCGTCGCTCCCGCTACCCCGATGATGAGGATGCGCCCCTCCCTCCGCGCGATGTCGTCTGGAATGCCGCTCATACCGGTCCTCCTCCTTATTGTGCGCCGCGTTACGGTAGGACGCTGTGACCTCGCTTTGACGAAAACGCCGCGAATCACCTCCATCCTGCTCGTAATAAGCATCTCGTGCGCGGTGGCCGTCATGCCCTTTGGTACTCCGGTGGTTGTAAGGGGAACGGTACACGTTAGAAGGCCCCATATCACTATAGTGTGAATGGTGACAAGAGTAAGACGCCCCATCCCGCACGTTGCGCTGGTAATTCTCGCAGGAAAAGGACTGAGGGTGCGATGCCGGTGACCCGCGAGGGTAGGATGACCTGTGGTGAAAAGACGCATTATTGTTACAGCTATTATAGTTTCCGCCGCCCTTTCCGCTCTCTTCGCGAGCAGCAGCCGCGAGGTGCCGCTGCACCCACCGATCTGGATGCGCGCGCTGACGCTTACGGCAGTCGTATCCAGTATGTCCCTTCCCGCCGCAGTAGCAGCAGCTCAAAGAAGAGTCATCCACGGTAAATTTGTTGCTATTAGTGTTGCTTTTGTTAGTATTATTTCCGCAATCAAAGTGTCCGAGCTCATGGCAGCGTACGCAACGCACCGTAGGCATGCCATTTGCTCCCTGTGGAAGCTCCGCCACGCTGCGTGGAAGCATGATAAACGGCGATGCCACACGCACTTCCTCACAAAAATGCTGGGTGTTCATCGTTCCACGAATGCCATGGCAATTACGGCAGAGCATGTTTGGGCAATTCGGCTTTTCGTGGTCCGGCAGCCCACAATTCCAACAAACCTTCGCCGGAAAGATCCCTCCACTCCCTCCACCACCGCCGTTGTTAAGCTGTAAGTCGAAATAACGTGAGAGAGGCGCCGTTCGGGGGGTCAGCGTCTGCCGTAGAGGCTCCGATGACAAACTCACTGCAGCATTTGTTTCGGGAGGGTTTTGCAAATCCCCTTTTACAACCTCCTCGCTACAGATTTTACCACCCTCATCCTCGCCAGACATCCCATCGCTGCTAACCCCTCCTTCTACCGGAGCACCGTGATCACCAGAATCATTCGCATCACTATTCGCCGCCTTTTTCGTGAATAGTATGGAAAACGCGCCGGTATCCCTCCCCGAGGCGGCGGCTGTGGTTGACGACAACCCACCATTTTTTGTCCGCTCCCAACCCTTCCCCTCCCCTTCCAGCATACGCGAACTACCGCAGTCAATCACTTCCATCATCGGTGAGGCCTCCATCCTCTTCTCGCCGTTGGCATCTACCAGTAAAGACGACGTAGGTGGTCGAACCGCCGCCGCTCGCCGGGAGGTGCAGGTTTGACCTTCCTTACACTCGTACTGATGCGATACCACGGTGAGGTCAGCGTCGTAGATGGGTTTCAAAACGCAATAAAGTACCTTGCGCCGCGTGTCATGTTTGGCACAGGTCACAAACCCAGAAGCATCCGGCACGGGTGTAGCCCCTGTTGCGTGCATTCCTATTGATCGTCTCCTTGGTGGTTGTCCCCCTCTCTTGGGTAACAGGAATAAAGTTGTTACAAATAGTGTGTTTTAGTATCAATCCTTTCGTATTTTTTATCTGAAACTCATGTCAGGAAAGCCTTACAAATAAAAAGAGGTGCGATGTAACAAGCATAATAGAATTGAATGAAAAATACACAATAGAATACGTTATTGGAAAAGGCAATACATGCTATCGTTTCTAGGTCTGGGGCCATTTAAGTGCGTTCAACTTGTGTTGTGCATCGCACTCAAGTTATCAACATCTTGTTAACAAAAAGTTATCTCTTGCTTACAAAACATTGATCAGAAACGATATGAATTTAAATAGGCGTATTTTTTTTTAAGCAAACACCATATTAGAGAATTAGAACAAGGCAAGCTGTTTGATATTTATCGATGCGATATTCTATAAGACTATACCCATTTTAGTGGGGAACAGCTATACAGATAATAGTTGCTATCTGTATTTGCAATAGTGAACTGATCTTAATTAATAAAGATCTCTTAATAAATAGATAAATTTTCTATTATAAAAAGACACTCACCATCAAAAAAAAATGACACATATTTTCCCACTTGATTTGAAACCTTGCTTGTTCCTATTAAAGTACCAAATGAAATATCAGTGATTTTGATGCTTCAATTTTTCGTTACTTATAAAAGTTTATTTTCCATTGACGTATTCGGTAGCATACTTTACTAATTTTTATTGAATTGTAGATTAAAAAGAGTAGATTTTTCGTAAGAATATCCCTAATGGGATCTAATAGGTGGTAACTCCTTTGCTTTTGTTGGAAAGTTTTGTGACACATGGATAAGTATGAGATACTTTAGTTTCCTATTAAAAATTAAGCCTATATATTAAAACTAAAAGGAAAAGCTAATGGTCTCAGCTTCTTGATATTATTGCAATAATGTTTATGTGCACTTGCGGCCGGAAAAACTTCTGCCTTAAAAATTATCATGAAAAATACAACAACGCAATTGTTAAGAAAATAAATGCCAGAATAACCCATAAAGGGGTAATATTACCGCCTGTATTCCATTTGTACAACTCAAACTTGGTCATCTCTGACCACTTTAGTGTTTCCGTTTCACTAGATTCTTTTGGCTCACATCTACACACCCAATGATTAAGGACTTGTTTTTCACATGTGCAGTACTGTTAGGACCAATGCTTTGAAAGTTATTGGTGATACCCGTACCACACATATCGTTGATCGGATCAAAGCTGCTTGGGTACACGTTCAACTATTTGGTGAAGTCCAAACCCTTGTCGTAGAGTACCGCCCGCCAAACGTCGTCCTTGTCGTGGCGGGCAACCACCTCCCAGGTGCACACAAGCAAATCTTTTTGAAACATTCACATCTCTTAGGGAGTTCTTCAAAAACTTGAATTAAATAAAAAATGAAGATACGATAAATATTGCAACATTATTAATTCTTTGGGAATACAAAACAATAAGTATCGAGTGACAAATTAAGAAATCACACATTGTTACTTATGCATATATGGTTGAGTCATTGAATAATATATATATATATATATAGATATAGATATATGTGTATAAACTTTTATTGTTAGATGTTAGAATCTAAAGAAAAAGAAATAGTTTAAGAAATCCAGAGTCAGCACTGCACATAAATAGAATGATCAATATCTACTCCCGACTCCACACACCTTCTTCAGACTTGGACCAAACTTCTTACCTTTCAGACTTAAACCAGTACATTAGCATTCGCCCGCTATTGCCATTTACATTAAGTGTATAATTGAATATGTGAAAATAATGATACAGAAACTGCCATACTAAGATAATCCAAATAGAAATATAAAGAAAAGACCACAAAGCAAGCCGATTATCCTAATCAATAGTATAATTCAATCAACAATGAATATTACCCATATTTTGCCTAACCCTGATGTGCGTTTCCGCTGATTTTTGAAGTAAAGACCTCGACTCAATTTTGCTGTAATTTTGTTCCCATTCAACATGGCCCCAACACACAACCCTCCCTTTTCTACTCTAAAGCACAAAATAATCCTCTTTTTGTGAATTGTCAGAATGAGTAGTTACGATAGATTTTCGAGAAGTGGTTGAAACTGAATTTTTTTGGCCCTTAGTTTTAGCCTTTGGCTTTTTGGAATCAGGTTTTCCCTTCACTGCAGTCGATGCCACCCTCTTCGTTCGGGGCACTCTTTTCTGCGACGCAGGCTTTTTCTTTGGGGCTGTATCCACCACCGCAGTCATTTCAACACGATCCAAATGAGATTCAAGGGGTGGACTCTGATGTTGAACCGAGTTGATAGTGGCGGGTGTCTCCTCGACCCCAGCCTCCACACGCCGTCGCTTGTGCGGTTCAGGGTCATCGCCATCCTCCTTTACATCAGTTGCATAATCAATCTGATCATTAACTTTCCTAACAGCTTCGGGAGCAGGGGACGGGATGAGGGCTACATCTTTGGCCGGCATACTGATCCGTATTCGATTATGGTCATCATTTAATCCACCAGGCGAGGCAGAGGCCCCCAGATCCCGTTTCCGTTCCTGACGAGCCCGTGTGAGGTGTGCCGAAAGTCCCTTAGGGCCATCCACGTCGATGCCGCGATCCGACTCCGGGTCGTGCGGCTGGGTTAATATATCCTCCGCCTCCAGGCGCAAAGGATGGCAACCCCCGCTACGTCTTTCCCCCTGCGAGGCCGCCGTCGCCTCCTTGGGGGGAAGATGGTACTCCTCAACCTGGACCCGTCCGAGGTGGTCGAGCCCGGTGAACTTCAACTCCTGAAGGACCTCCCCCACTCGCAGCCCGTCCACGCCGGGGCCGCGCACGAGGACGGCGTCGTGCAAGCCGAAGTCCACAAAAGCCCCGAACGTGGTAACGGACTGGACCATCCCCGTCAACCGGTCGCCCTTTTGGAGGTCCTTCACCTCTTGGATCTCGCGGCGAAGCAGCCCGGCGTGGGGGAGGCTATCCCGGGGGTCCAACCCCGGGGAAAGCAACTCCCGCCCCACCAACGTCAAAGTTCCTACCCCACACGACAGCCGTCCTGCCATCCCGAGAAGAGCGTCCTCCGGCAGGTTCGAGATAATCAGGCCGAGCTGCTGGCGTTTATGGCAGCCGGCTGCCCCCGCGCACCACCCCAACTCCCCTTGGTCATACAAACTCAAGAGCTGTTTTACGAGGGGGTACGACTCCGGGTGGATGTTCGTGTTATCTAACGGCTCGGGGGAGTTGGGAAAGCGAAAAAAACCCGCAATTTGGTTGTACACAAGTTCGGTCATGCTGGGAACATGGCGCAAGTCCTCGCGAGTATTGAGATGCTTGTTATGACGTGCGAGAACGATTTGATCAACGAGCTTCTTCTGAATACCCGGCACCTTCTCCATCACATACCGGTTCGAACTGGCGGCATTGATGCCTACTAACGCTACACACGACTCTACCACATCGTTCAGTCCCTTGAGGAGCTCTTTCTCATTGACGTCGTGCTGGTACATACCAATACCCATGCTCCGCACGGGTATTTTGACCAGCTCACTCAGAGGGTCTAGCACGCGACGGCCGATATTGACTGCCCCACGATACATGATGTCCAACGTAGGAAACTCTTCCTTGGCAGCATCAGAAACGGAATAGACGCTCGCGCCGGCCTCACTCACAATCGCGAATTCTACATCGCCCCACTTCCGTTGCTTAATTGTCTTCGCCACAAGCAGAGCAGTTTGCTGCGAGGCCATTCCATTTCCAATGAGAATTTTGTTGAGCTTTTTTGTCTCCACGATCTTGTAAATATACTCTTGCATGCGCTTCTCATCCATGAGGGTACATTTGAAGAAGCTCATAACCTCACCGTTTTCGTCTAAGGCGACGCATTTAATCCCATTGGTGATGCCAGGGTCCATGGCCAATATGCGAGCTTTGGAGAGTGGACGCTGAAGCAACATATAGCGAAGATTGTGTTCAAATACCAAAATTGCCTCTTGATCAGCGCTTTTCTTTAAATCACGGCGAATGGTGTTCTTAACGGATTTAAGCAAATGCTCATAAGTTAAATGCAAACCTTCACGCACAAGCTGAACCTCGTCTCGCCGATTGGCGGAGTTGGAATTCTGCTTATGAAAGTTTCCAGAAGCGTTTGGGGAGTCTGAGAATGATGAAGAAAGCAATTTAGCGATACCGTTAAAATGCTTTTTGACAAGCCCTTCAAAAAGGCGCTCGCAGCTATGATCGGACTCGATGTCTATCCGCAAGATTCCTTTCGTCTCACCACGCTGCAGTGCCAAAATGTTATGGCTGTTGAGTCGATGCAATGACCAGCGCTTTCCATCGTAGTAGTGAAACTTCCCTCGTAATTGACACAATGCATCCTCATCCATCTCCTTAGCCACCTTTTTTCGGGACTGATGCACCAAAACACTCGACAGATGAGCGTGAAGCTGTAAATGACGGAGTAAATCCTGACGAATATAATCACAACGCTGGATCTCCTCCGCTAGGATAGCCACAAATAGTCGTCTCCCATCCTCCACACGGGAAATCATCAACATCAGGTTAGGCAGCGCAACGCCCTGATGGACGAGTGCCTCTGCGAAGGGACCGAAGCCGGCATCCCGACCCCGCGACGCCAGGCTCGTTTTCTTAACCTTAAACGGCTCCCACACGTCGTCGAGCTGGCTCAGGTGCACCATCTCCTCGAGCGTCCGCCGCAACCCCTCCGTCAGCAGTCCCCGCTGTCCGAGGCTTTTCAGCATAAACTGCCGCCGCCGGTGGACCTCGGCGACCTCGTCTGCGGTGGAGAGAACCGCTCGGAGCTGGGTCTCGTTGAGCTTCCCGCTCTCGTCCTGGCGGTAGCGCGCGAGAAACGGGACGGTGGCGCCCTGTCGCGTCTGCTCCAGGACGTAACGGACTGAAGGGGGAGGGAGACGCATCCGTGCGCTCACCAGACGGCAGAGCTCCCCCGTGGACAAGGTGGGAGTGGCGGAGGGGGGGATCCACGTGTCAGGGGGAATCCCACGGACATGGGACGAGGAGGAGGAGGCGGAGGAAGGGGAGGGGAGGGGGGAGGGGGCCTGGGGCATTCCATCCCCTCGTTTACGCGGCATCACGGGATCCCCTGAGGGGGTGGGATTGCTATGGAGGTATCGTCGAGGCGTGTCACAAGGGATGAGGTAGAAGGATGGCCTTCCAGAGAATTCGAGCTGAGGGCGCCGGCTAGGGATGCCTGAGAATAGCTTGGGCTTGCAGGGGTGGGGTAGAGTGCGTAAAAACACCTGAATCAGACCAAATGAATCGCCTGTGGTGGTAACGTGTACACGCAATGGGACTTTTCGAAGAAACGCGGAAGCTCGTGAAGTTCGTGTTTCAACAGTTTTGCTGGATCGTATGAAGTTGGCAATTGGAAATTTTTGAATAAAACGCATTAGCATAAAACCATTCGATGGGAATGCTGCGAAACACGTAGGTTTCCCGGTGCGCTTCCAATAAAAGAAAATGGAAGGTCAGACCAGAAACACCAAATATAGGACAATTAAGTCCCTTCCCTTGTAAAAGGTCAGAGTAGTAAAGATTCAAACTATAAAAATATAATAGTTCAATCGATACTTCTTCAGAATATGGTATAGAAATAGAGATCTCTATATTAAGATCAAGGAATAAAAACAGGGTTAGGATTAATAATGAACTCAGTTGCACGGAAAGCAGTTTATAACTGCATGAAGTGAAAACTATGGTAAGTTAATTTTTAAAAGGCTCATAAGTAAATTTTATATTTGAAAAAATATTTATTATTGCTTTGTATCATTTCATTTTACAATTCTCTACAATATTATTCACGGTGTATAGTATATTTTTCATGGCCCTTACATAATGCGTATTCTGCTTAAATTAAGAGTAAATAATTTCAATGCGTTTCAAAAGCTTAAACATTTACTAGAAAGTAATTACAAGAAAAATGTAATGTGCTCAGAAAAAAGATGGATAAATAAATAACACTAAAGACTGAACTATGTCAATAGAAGCAATCATAAATATAAAAGATATTGTACTTGAAATAATATCCATCGAAATTACCATTCTTTCTGTAATCTGAAGTTTATGAGTGGAATAAAATACAAAAAAAAGTAGAATCTAAAAGGATATATTTCTTATAGATTCACTTTACCTTCTCCGTGATCATTTACATGCATCTTCAAAACTTTATACACAAATAAATGTGAAACCAATTGAAAAAAAATATTATTAATATTAGGTACAAGATATTTTTTTCATCATATTTAGACTTCTGACAATTAAGCTACTCTCTTCTTCATCCTTTTTGAATACCATTTATATACACTAATAAAACACTCCGATAAAGGAAAATAACAGTAACTTTTGAATCGTGAAGCTTTAGTAAATTTATATGAACGATTATCAACGTCGTCCTTAGTAAATAAAGATAAATAATTATGTTATTTTTCTTTAGATCTTAACTTAATCAACAATAAAAGAATAAATAAAACATTTTTCAATTTTTAGTAAGATTTAAAGTCATTTTTAAAAATCATCAACTAAACTAAAAAAAAAAGTAAGTGTGGAAGGAAATATTTAAAAAAAAAATTATGATAAGGAATTATAAACATTCATATTAAACTAAGAACAACTATCTATGAAACTTTCACTAGTTCAAGTTTAGAATATATTATCCGTCATCCTTACATATCCCTCACTGTGGCACCTCATCAATGACCGGGAATGCCTCTTAAAAGGCAAGCACCACCCCCAGTTGAGAAAGGGCGCCCAAAGAACAACCCAACATCAGTGCCCCATCACACGCCTGTGCGGCCATCGCGTGGTCGCCATTTCCCCTCAACCCGGGCGAGGTCGGCGCGTACATCATGCTCAAAGTCCCCACATACCCATTGCTGATGCCTAGAATGCCGCTTAAGATGTACCCCGGCATCTTGCCTGGAATGATGTGCATCCCACACAAAATAACCAGTGGAATCAGCGCAATTCGCGCAATGGATAAGATCAATACCATCTTTCGCGAGATTCGTAGTTTTTTCCAAATCAGCACCCCGCGTGAGATGAAATCGGTAAAGTTGAAGATCGCAATGACAAGTGTGGTGTACCAGATGTCCGTAAAGTTGATCTTAAGGAAAACCCCTGGGAAAATGAGCAACGTGACGAAGAAATTTAGAAAACAGGCAATCTGCATGGTATAAATTTTCTTTATAACATCCCACAGTCTGACTCGCTGAAGAAGTTCCGTGGATATCAGTCCCTCGGGGTCGATATTCGTATCATCCTGAGGGCTACTAGACTGCTTTTTGGGCTCCGAATCAGTTGTCGCGAAGATGTCCAATTGCGGGGAAGAGGTTGCATCATTTCCTGCCTCGTGCGTTGAGCCATGTTCATTTTTAAGGGAAATCTTGCTTGGGTCATTCTGTGGTAATTCTTCGGATAGCTTTAATGGGCGGTAAATATTTCGCCAAGCCGATCGCGTCGAGCGAAGCTCCGGGATGAAACCTTTGGCGAACTTATTAAAGAAAAGCAATATCAGAAGCAGCACAGAGACGGTGATCAGCCCGATACCAATGGAAAAGTATATAATCGACTGTTTAAAGACCGATTTGAAGTTGCTTGGCATACATCCAATCAGAATAATCTGTAAGACAGACATTAAGACTCCGGATGCCGGTACGCCAATCATAGCGCCGATGATAATCTTTGGTGGGCATGTGCCGAAGAGGGCAAAGACGGTGTTCTCGAATATGGCTCGCCCCAAACCGCCCACGAAGGCGGCCATTAAAATTCCGACAACGGCACCTGACTCTGAGGCTCCTATATGTGGCATCAGCAACGTAATAAGAAGTTCCATCATTGAAATCATACATCCAAGCTCAAGACGGAAAAGGTAGGAAAAGCGGCGGAAAAAGGGAAGAAGATTGACTGGCTGCAGAACCGCTTGTGTGACTTCGGTGACAATGCAATAATAAGTTAGGACATTTCGCCAAAAATTGGGATAATCGGACACTGCATGTTCATCATGTTTAATATATTTATAATATTCAAGCATAAATGGTGGTGTTGCGTTGACAGCGTTCAGACCCAAAAGGATAACCATCCCAGACACAATGCTGGTAAAGAAGAGCACGAGCTCACTGAAATTCGTAAAGCCTAGAAAACCCATGATGTGTTATCTTAATCAAATATGTAATTTTTTTTGTGAATAAAAGCTTAAAACTTTTTTATGTAAATATCTTTTCAAATACACAAGGAGAAATAAAAAAGTGAAATTAAATACACATATCTTTTGAAATCAGTATGATATCATAGAAATAAAATTCATTCACTAGTTGTAACTTCTTGCCTTTGGACAGTATAAATTTCGCATACGCTGGTGGCTTAATGTAGGAAAATACAAATTCACTAAATGTGATAAGTATGTCGAATTTAAGTGTTTAGAATGAAGAAACATACTTATTCTTCGATTTCAATGATATTCAAAGCTCAAAATAGATATTTTTTCCTTTGATATTTTCGATTTAATTTTTTCCAGATAAGAAATTTATTGTGCAAAAAGCCAAAATACAAAATAAAGAATAAAGAAATTTTAAAAAAATTAACGAAATATAATTATCAGGGGGAAAAAACTACGCTAATTAGGAATAAAATACCCATCCTTTCTCTACATTTCTACCTTAAGTAAATGGAATCACCTCGATCAACTGAAGAAGAGAGCCTATAGAGCAACCAAAAAGAAGACACGCACCTGAGATCTGGCCAGCAATCGCCTTCTCCCCATTGGATTCCAATCCTGATGAGAGAGGAGTGTACACCATCGCCAACGTCCCGAAGAATCCGTTCGTCAACCCTAAGAAGGCGGTAAAGACGTACGAGGTGGCTTTCCCAGGGATGATGTGCAGGGCGCACATAAATTGAAGCGGAACGAAGATAGTTCGTACAATAGTGACAAACAAGACAAACCTTCGGCTCGGCCATAAACGCTTCCACATGCTCATAACACGCCCTATGAGGTCAGAGAAGTTATAGCAGGTCATGATGAGAGTCGTGTACCAATCATCGTCAGGGGCTACTGCGATGAGAATACCTGGGTAGATGAGATACGTAACACAAAAGACAAGACAAGATGATAACATCATGGGATACGTTTTTTTGATTACGGGCCAAATTTTCACCCCCTGTAAGAGCTCCGATGTGCTCATGCCGGCCCCTTCCTTTACTGATATAGTGTCTCCATAGGCATCTTTTTTGGATGCCACATAATTTATCGAATTACCATCTTCCACAGGTTTGAATAGCCGTAAGCCCATTGGCGGGGTCGGCACCATCTTTGACGACGCGTCGTGTTCGCTTCCATGTGAATTCGGTACGGCCACGCGATTCCCCGAGGCTCCTCCTTCCTCACACAAAATATTTTGGGTTTCAAACAGATCGGCGCTGTTTACCGCATCGTTCGGATTGCTAACATCGGCATGAGCTTCACCCTCCTCCGAAGTATTCTTTTGGGGATATAGATTGTTGGTGTCGCTCTGACGCAAAGGACGATAAATATTATGCCAAAAACTATCTCGACTACAAAGTTCCGCTACAAACTGTTTGGCAAACGGATTAAATAGAAGTAAAAACAACAGCACCCCAGCAGTAAAGATAATACCCAAAGTAAGAGAGAAATACAAAATAGTCTGCGTCAGAATGGAGTCATGGGTGTCCGGCATGTTTACTTTGAGAACAATCTGCATCACCGAGACAATTGCCCCCGACAGAGCCGAACCAATCAACATCGCTGACATCATCTTTGACGGGCAAGGGCTGAAGAGGGCGTAACCGGTATTTTCAAAGTAAGCACGAGCAAACCCACCAAGATAGGCTACAATCATCAACCCCGCTATCGCTGCCATTTCTGATGTGCCACAGAAGGGCATCAAAAGAATCACCAAGATCTCTACCATCATAATAAGGCAACTCATCTCTAGCCTGAAAAGAAGCGAAAAACGGCATAAAAAGGTGCTGACATTCGTAGGCTCATGGATTGATTGCGCAACAATCGTGACGATGGTGTAGTAGTTTAAAATGTTAGTCCAGAATTTAGGCATCTTAGAGGTGGTGTCCGGATTTCCAATGTACGTATAATATTTTAACATGAAGTTAGGAGCGGAATTCACTGCGTTGACGCCCATCACCATGGTGACTCCCACAAGAAGACTGGTCAAAAAGAGTGCGAACTCCGAAATATGGTGAAACCCAAGTACGGCCATTTTATTCTGCTTGCAATTTTTATCGAAAAAATGCTTTAGTGAAATTGTCACTAAAATGCTTAATTTATGAAAATAATATTGAACTTTTTTTTAATGAAATTTAAATCTAAAAATTTGAAGTAAAGAATTCTTACCGTGGCACTCAAATATGAAATTAGGTTATCATGAACATTTAGAAATGATGAATCCATTTTATTTGCGTAGACACTCGCATTAGCTATTACTATGCAAACAAAATTAAAGCAGACGACGGTGGTACGCATCAAGAATCTAGGTCTTGTATAGCCATCCCCATGACATCGAGCTGTATAATATCCGTCCTTGCCTTCAACAAGGTGCCCAAATTCGGAACCGTACGGCCCATGTCCCCGTGAACGAACTCCTTCACGTACGTCCCCGCCTGCGTCTCCAGCTCCAAAATAAGCCAGTGAGGGTTGAGCGGGGTGAGACGCATAGAATGGATCACCCGCGAACGCGCGTGTAATGAACGCCGATGTAGCACCCGCATTGGGGTCTTTTGAGCGATTTGCAAGTTTGTTGTGGTGTTCACCCTGGCCACACAAGGATCCGTGGAAGGGTCCCCCACCGCCCGACTGCTCCACACCACGCAACGGTAACGCTTTAACTTGCTCTCGGAGTGACGGGCCAAGCGCAGGGTCACGCCGGAGTTGGTCAGGCGCAGGTCATCCACCTCCACCCCGCCCCCATGACTCCTGTTGATGGCCGCTACCCAATGGGATAAATTCTCCACAGAAACCGCCTCACTGGACGGGTTCACTATTTCGAGAACAAAGGGCCGTCCAGAGCCTAGCATGCGCACATCAACATCCTCACGACCCGCGCTATGGAACTTATAGCGCCCGTATCCAAATACCTGCTCGGCGCTGACCATGGTTGAATTCACACTGCTTGGGTGTGGTTGCTTGTCATTGGAATGGGGTCTATCATCCTTGTGGCTTTTTGGAAGGGAGTCAAGTTCCCCTAAATCATTTGGACCTCCGGTGGAACTATTTAAAGCCGTGACACCCTCCGGGAAAAAAAAGGGTAAGATCGGGCCTGCAATGATCTCTTGCAATGAAAAAGAACCAACACGTGAGCCATTAACAAACCAAGGCGACTGTGATAAATTGCGTTGCATTTTTCGGTAATTACCCTGCAAATAAATGTTGGAGTGGGTGATAGTGCTAGTCATCATTGCGGCCTCTCGAGCTTTTTCCCGAACATTAGTGACACCCTCCTCAGATAAAGAAGAAGAAGCCCATCCAATAGATTGCAAGTGCGGCATGACATGCTCGTAGATGACAGAATAGGTTAAAACCATGCCACCGCTTTTATTGCTCGCGTAATGCTTGGGAAAATCAGCCTGTGTGAGGAGGGATTCTGTAGGCTGATGGCAACAATACACATCACACACCACGTGCTCGTTATTCGTGTCGTAAGTAAATTTTTGAGGGCAAGTACAAGTAGTGCCTTCTTCCTTTGTGATCTCCACTCGTTGAACTTTTTCCTTTCGTTCTTCGTTTTCATCCGCTTTGGACTTCATAGAATCGTTTTTCACACCAAGTAGTTTCAAATAAACCGGTAATCCTTGAATAGATACTCTTTTTGGTGTAATAATCTCGGAATGAGGGTGGATGAGGTACTGTAACACACGTGCACGTAAATCTGACATGTAAAGCTCCTTAAAATTTGAAAACTCTTCCGGGATGATCGCTGATGGAGATGGTCGCTCAGTCATAGTGGCAGACCTGTTGTAGTACCTAGTCGCCACTGCCAACCACGTAAAGGTCAAGCTCCTATTAACATTAATGTTTATTGATATCTGGTTCGAATCCGTAAAAGGGCTCTGTCGTATCTTAACCGCCACCGTCGGTGCGTGGATGTGATCCATAAACTGGTAGAGCCCAAAGCACGCTACACAGAGCCACGGAATAGAGCGCGGCGTGCTCATTTCCTTGTCGACAGAAACAACGTCCACCGCCGTGCTCAGCGCTCCATCAGGGCTACTTTCACAGGCACTTTGAGAAAATCGTCGTTTCGCACGAAACCAACGCCATGCGCTATCAGCGGTTTCATGTACAATAATGAAACGTGAATGGTGTGTATCATCCAGGTGAGGTTTCGACTGAGCATCTTCACCATTCGGACACCCATTCGTATTTCCCACTGTACTTCCTCCCGCACCAGGGTTGTGTCGATGTTGATAATTCAATGGAGGGGAGAAGTGGAAAAGCATGGACATGCGCAGAGCACATGGATAACATAACGTTTCCTTACACATCGTGGTTGAGAGAATGTTAAGCTTGAAACACGGTGATCAACTATGAAAAGTCTTCCCTTCCTGTTCTTGATTCCCTTTCCACTCCTGTATGCTTTTCCCTACTGTGAATCCCTTTACTTTTATATAGATAGTTGTTGTTGTTTTTAATGTGTGGAAAATTCGTGATGAAAAGGAATTAATCAACCATATTACTTTAATAAAACTCTACCATTCTTTCATGATTAGTCTTCTTTTTTAATGGAATGCTTCTAATAAAGTTTCTATATCTAAAACATTGAACAGGAAAAAGAGATCCTCCTGTGACACGAAACGTTGATAAATGCTGATAAACTTATCTGGGTGACCTCTCCTTCAGGAAAAGAGTGAACCAACGACAATAACATACATAAAGCCACTGCGTGTTTAGAGGAAGGAAGGAATGAAAGAAAACATGCCAATAAACAGCTTTATCATATTTTAAAATCGATAAACCTATACCAAACTTACCTAAAAAAAGAGTAGACTAAGAACAATGACGCATATTGTTCATTTAGTCCAAAATCCCTTGAGTGAATTACACAAGGAACACTCATTAGTTCGTCTGAAGCAACTTCAATTCTTTGAAAAGGATAAAGTGGCTGGCGAACGTAAACTTTGGAATGTAGACTTAAGATATCGAGCAAACACATGATTGAGAAATATATGACATGACACTAATGGATATACTGGATCTGATACCCCGTAGTAGGGAAAAAAACTTCTAGAAAGACCAACACCGCTGCACACCGATCCTACTTGGATATTTTTCCACAAGTCCAGTCCACAAGGGGTATCGATGATCATGGGCATGGAGTTAAGAAAGTCATCTCAAAGGCTAGAAAACCTTGTCTACCTACTCTTGGGGAACACTTCATATCTCCATTAAACCAAAGGATTATTATGCACTGATAAATAACATGAAAACTGATCATCCATTCAACAAGTACATTGTTTATACGTGATACTGGTCATGACTATTATTGTGAAAGTTTCTTGTTTAAATGGAAATATATTGAAAAGGCATTCAAAATATAAGGTAAAGGTTACTCACACAGAGAGATTAGAAATAGCGACAACATGTATATGCTAATAAGTTCAAAAATCTGAATAAGAGCAAAATAGAATTTTTACTGTAAAAAAGGCTTGAATAAGTTACTGATATTACCTCTTTCGTAAAACAGACCTTGAGTAATACCTTATGATTTTATGTTGTGAAATAATAATTATCATAGGAAAATCACTGGTAGCGGACTCCTCATTACCATGCGTACGGTCAATAGACAATGTTTGCATGGAACCAATGAGTAATAGAAACAATCTATAAGTGTCTCTAAGGCTATATGTATACTCCCATTTGCTCATCCAAAATCTGTGTTATTTTCAATCAGTTTATTGCAACGTATGATGTAAATACAAAATCACCAGTAAGAACGATGTGGGATAAACAAAGGTGGCACTGAAAAAAGGTTTACTGGGCTGCCAATTGTTGTCATGGATCCCTGATATACGTTACCAAATCTACTTTCTATTAAACTATTGGGTGTGATTTGTGGCATTACAAGTTTTGTATCAATCTCAAATAGTATACATAAACAAATGTGTTTCCTCCAAATAACGTAATGCTATGTATCAGTACAAAAATGGAATACTGAAAATAAAGAAAAATTGTTTAAAAGAATAGCAACAACGCAATTTTATCATTGATCATAGAAACATAACAATACTAATATAAAAGCAATCTGTAAAATTAATTTTTCCGCATCTAGGCAAGGCTCATATAAAAAGTTTTTGCCTTTATGCAATATAGTAATAACACATGAAATAAATAAAAGTATATTAAGGATCATAATTGTCTTTAAAAGCCTAAAAAAAATGAATGCACTTACTTCTTATCATCACCTCGTTATGTAGGATAATTAATAAACAAAATACACTATGACATGGGCCAAAAAGGGTATTTATGTTTCCATACATGTTTTACTTTGGTAGAAGCTTTCGAAAGAATGTTGTCTTAATTGTGTTTTCTATTTTTATGCAATAAAACTGATTGAATTCATAATGTCTGTACTCTTGATTTAGTGACATAGATTTTAGTAAATCACAAATTAAACCAAACAACAATTTTTTCATATTTTTTTTATTACATATTTTTCTGCTTTGGATTTTTTTGGATATGTGTGATGTAACGAAATGTGTTTCTTAGTCTTAACGATTTTTCAAATAAAAAAATAGTATACGTTTATACTTCTTATTTAAGTGTGTGACACATAGAAAACTTAAATTATACATATAGGTGTTTGGTGTTTTTTAAATAGAACCATTTTCCAACTTAATGAAACTGCCAATGAATTCAATCACTTTTACTATCATTCCCTAAAAGAGAAGTGATTTACATGACTTCTACTCCTTAATATAATGCGGTAAACTCGTTGACACTCCAAACAAATTGTTTGGGTTATATTATATGTCGTCATGAATTCCATCATTATACACAAAATTACCTATTAGTTCGGCACACTGTAGCAAAAAATACTGATGAAATTATCACATTATCTTATCTGCTAGGTACTTTCTTGACGGGTTGTCTATGGCATTAAAGGAATACAAGGGCTATTGAATATATACACCCCGCAGGGTCGCCAAAAAGGAAAAGTCATCAAGGCTGATAGATAGTAGTTAGAGAAACCCATTTAGTAAAAGAATAAGGGGATAAATTAACTGATTGTTAATGTACGAGTAGCCTTTGCATCCAACTCCCGGGCCACTTTACTAAAAATGTAATTACCAAGTGGTTCTCATCCTCTCTGCTCTGCAATTGTAATAATATTAGAGTAGACAATAATGAGACATGAAAGCATATTAATTATCATAGCGATTGAACCCTTTAACCCAAATCAGGCTGGCCCCCGGACAGAAAAGGGTGTTCTAAGAGAGAACTACACGTTGGACGATTTCTAAAATCTTCCGTTAAACACCACTTTACAAAATCGACAAATTCTGGTGAGAACTCTGAGCTCTCAATTTCATCTAAAATAGGTCCAAATGTGTCAAAACTATTACCAAACGAAGGCTTTGTGTTAAAATCGACGTCTTCGACGTCTGGATTTAAAAGAAACCCTTGTGAAAACTTCTTCATAAACCCGTGCCTAACAACATCAGGTACGGCACGCTCGACCGGCCTCCACGGTAGGTGTCCGGTGGCGAGTTGAAAGACAGTGATCCCGATCGACCAGATGTCATTTGAAGGGCTATCGTCGAGCCCGATACAACTTTCGGGAGACATATACAACACCGTTCCCGCCAACAACCGTTTGCGAGTGGTGTTGGTGAGAATTTCGTGACGGAGACGGTGCAACTGTCCTATCAGTATGTTAATGGGCTGGACAAACCGGGAATGGCCAAAGTCCCCTAACTTGTACTGAAGGGTTGAGCCCTGTGGCCCGTTCTGTAACCGCGAGGCGGGGCTCCGGGAGAAGAGCAGGATGTTCTGTGGTTTAATATCATTGTGAACCACCCCAATCTTTTCGTGCAAATAGCAAAGCCCAGGTAGAATATCCCACAGCATGTGGCGTATTTCCACCTCACCAATCTGCTCACATTGATTCAGTTTATTGGAAAGCGTCCCATCCCGACTAAGTTCTAAAAGAGATAGAATAAAAAATGAATTCGAATGGGGGTTCTCGAGTCGGGGTTTTTCCAGCTGAGAGGGGGAGGATAATTGTTGTCGAGTCGTATCAGTGGCCGAGTCATCTGAGAAAAAAAAAATCAAAAAAGCCCTAACAAGTCCGGAGTGGTTTATACTATGCCGCATCTTCAAAAGGGAAACTACTTCGGGCAGTAACTCACCATTCATTAATATCTCCGAGGTAATGAATGTCTTCTTTGCGGCCACTTCGATGCTGAAGCACTTCTCTGGTAAAGACTTGGAACCTAACAAACTGGTCTCGCAGTTGACCTTAGACCGATCACTATCCTGTTGACGTCTATGGATTTGTAAGTTGGCTCGATAGACATTGGAAAGCCCGCCCTTCCCAAGCAATTGTCGATTATTATACGTAATCTTAGCGATAAAGTCATTAAAAGGGCACACATGCATATTCAAATCACGGTGAATTGTGAATGAGCTTGAAAGGCGTAAAGTACTGCTTTCGGAATTAGAAATCTCATAGTTGCTGTCGCTGAAGGAGAACTCGTCGTTTGAGCGGTCCGGAGCTTTTATTAAATGAAGCAAACCTATTTCATCGTCAGTGTATTCACTTTGCCCATTTACACACGTACTAGGGGAAAGACTCGATTGAAAATCTGAGACCGTAGTGCTGCCACGTCGTAGACCACCGGATGTTAATCCGTGAGGAAGGCCCTGAGGAACAAATGAAAATTGACCCCAAGCATTGTTCCGTATTATTTCTGAAGACATGTAAATATCGTAAGCGAGATCCTCAACATTCTGCATTCGTATACTTTGAATAAAGGGATGCTGAAAGCTATCATTCGAACAGGATTGCTTGCTTAAGTCTTTCATTAGATTGTCTTTAATTGATATCTTGATAATTACTATGGTCTTTCTTTTATTGTGAACTATCGTAAAGGAGTAATAATAGAAAAAATAATGATGATAATGAGTAAGAAATTATTCTTAAAGGCAAACGTAAAATAAAATAATGTTACCTCTAGATATTCAAGTTCAAGACATCCAAAGTAGATGTTGAGTTTTTGATATGCGGCTATCGCTTTTGAACAACAATGTTCGTACGAATCCCTGGAAGCAAGATATTGAGAAAAAAATCGTTATAAAGGCAAAGTGATATACTAAAAAAAAAGTATTGAGCTATAATAATAGTAATACTAAATGCCTATGAAGGAGTAGAAAAAATATAGATTTTACTCTTCCTATGATAATGATAATGTACTAAATTAGCCTGGTGGTAGTGAATTCAGACTCGTTCATGACGCCCTAATCGCACCAACGACGCCCACCAGACATGTTGGGTACACGCCAACCATCTTGAAACTCCCACAGATGATGTGGAGACCCACCGGTATTTCCAAAAAAGAAATGCTTCGACGTACCTGGAGGGAGTTCCTTCATAAAAGGTAATGGAAAGCCAAAAAACAAATCGTAAATAACACACCCGACAAAAGCGATAACAGGAGATCGATAAAACAACCACTCGAAAGGAAGTTGAAAAGGCCAGCCTATGGCATGTTTGGTTAAATAAAATCCACCTGCAGTTGGAGCGGTAGATATTTGTTTAGGGTGCTCACGATATGGAAATGTACGCTTGGGCACACCGTTCGGGTAAAGAGCCTTCACGTCAAACCCGCTAATTTTTTTAGAAGTGATGTGTAGCATGCTTGAGTGCCACTATGAATAGAATTTTTTCTACAAGTGAAGAAAACTATAATTGACTTTTTTTCCCTAACACTTTGATTTGCCTTATGCTACTAATGTACCACACATAAAAAAATATAAAATGAAATAATTAGCACACAAAAAGTCTTTGGAAATCGTACTTCCATCACATCAATATCTCTAAAGTAAAAGAGACCTAAAACAGGATACTCTGGCAATTACAGAGAAAAAGGAAATTCTAATACGTAGGTATCTTACATACGGTAGATTATGTAAAGGAGCGGAAAAAAACGATCCATTTACGATTGGTGGAGTCTTAGCTACAGGTGCATGTTTTTTTTTATTCGAAGCGCCTTCTTCTTCAGCTTCAAGGCCTGATCCAGGAGATCTAAATCACATATCGGCTCTGCCGTCCCTTCCTTCACAAGAGAAGGCCTGGTCGCGATAATTTCCTCCACACGCTTGAGGTTATCCTCCGCGTGCTTCACATCATCTAATAATAAACAACAGGTGGCGAGATTAAGAACTACAGTGGGGTCCGCGAGATTGGGGTCAACATCTAAATTAAGAAGTACGGAAAAGTCTTTTGCTGCGGATTGGACGTGGGATTTAAATAAACTTTTATCTTCTGCCATGCGGCGGTCTTTAATAACTTCTTGTTTAAGAGACTGAATATCGGCATGGCCAAGTCCTGGACTAGACTTTTGGATTGGCGAAACGACCGGCGTTTTCGGCGAATTTACAGCCCCCATCTCGTTTGAGGATTCTTCTTCCTCAGCTTCGAATTTGGAAAGCATGCTTTCAGCCAAATGTAAATATGTGCAACCCCTTCGAAATCGGGCGTAAGTATAGTTTTCCTTCACCTCCAATGCCGCCGTGTAGTACGTCAGGGCCTGTTCGAGCTCCTCCTGATCCTCATAGAGCTTACCAAGATTCACCAATGCATAGTAGTTCGCTTTGTTCAGTCGTAGAGCGGCTTTAAAGTCTTTTTCACATAAAGTAAAACACGAAGATAGCAATTTGATTCCAGGAACCTGGCGATTCAAAATACAAAGTCCTCGCATGTTATACGCGTAGTCATTATTCGGCTCTTGGTCAATAATACTAGTATAATCCTGGATCGCGCCATCGACGTTGTTTAAATGCTCCTGACATATCGCTCGCCGCTCCAATGAGGCGACATGGGTGGCATCTAACAACAACGCCCGTGAATAAGAATCCAGTGCACTTTGATGTTGTTTTTGAGCAAGATAGACCTCACCAAGCAGGAAAAAGGCGAGTGAATTGTTATCGTACAACTCGATCGCAAGGTCTAAAGCCTCTTTTGCCTTCATCAAATTGGATTCCATGTTTTTTCCAGTATATTCTAGGTACCCCTTGGCCTCATCGCACTTTTCATTCGACTTTTTGATCTGCTCTTCAAGAAGTTTTCGTTGCTTCCGTGCTTTAATAGCCGCATTTCTTTCGGCTTTCATTGCTTTGGAAGCTGATTTTGCCATTATAATTGTTTTGTTTTGAAATAAAGCTAACCCTACATAGGAGAAATTAATTAAACCATATTGAATAAAAGTAGCAATTAATAAGGGCGGTAAGCCACTCTACATATTAATTGAGAACATAACCATTTATCTATCCAATCATTTGTTTTGCTTTTTTTTAGAACGGATGCACATTTCATTGTTGGTGTTATTGATAAAGGGCTACAATAAATTTGTAATCAAACATTAATGCAATATGAACCCTCGTTTTTTTTTAGAAAAATTTAATGTGAGAATATATATATATGGATACTTTAGTGTTTTAGGATTATTTCATCTTCTATGAAGTTTCAACTACATGTTAATAAAAGTGTAGTTATAAAGGGAAAGAAATAAATTAGATAATTGTGATGTTAAACGTTTTTGGGGGCTTTCTTTGTGGAAGGTAGCTGCTTGTTACTTTCCTTTTTGAATGCAAATGATTTAAGCGCACAGAAATATTCTTTTTCATCCACCGATGGAACCCGAGTCCAGCTTGCATCTTTTTCAATCAGTCCTCGTACAGTTTGACAGGCTTCTAAGACCACCTTCAACCCATATTCGGACCCAACGGCAACAAGAAAATCAATTGGAATGACCGCCACTTCATGCAAAGGTTTGTCCACGGATATACTGAATCGCTGCCCAATTCTAGGGACAGAACCCTCTTTCCATTCAGTGGAAAATACCGAGTTTCCATATTTTTCGCCTTTAGAATATAAAACACTGGAATCAAGCAGAAACCCAAGAAATAGTCCACCAGGAACCAAGGCACTAGCGACACTTGAAATAAAGTGCCGTGCCACCATTTCATCTGAAAAAGCATGGTGAAGTCCACTAAAACATGCAATTGTCTGAAACTGTCTCGGATGTATTTTAGCAATTGAACATATCCAAAAATCAACCGAAAAGGCATTAGCGCAAATAACGTCATACTCACCATTTGGAGGAAGCTCTGAAGAATTTGATATCGTCTCAAGTACTGAATCTACTGCGCTTGCTTGCAAATCAACACCGACATAGCGTACTGTTTTATTGAACATCCACTTGCGCACGACTGAGCCACCACAACATAAATCAAGAACGTCGTTTGTTGGAAACTTTGGGTTGATCTTGTCAATTAGAAGGGAAATGCATCGCGTCATCACTTGCTCCTTAAATGTCCCTTCCGGAGGGGGAGGCACATGATACCCTATTTCAGCCTGTGTATTTGTGGAATAAAATATATTCCAGCAGTCTTCACAGTAGAAAAAATTGCTTATCGCATCCAGCATTCCCAAGACAAGAATCATGCCGCAATAGATACAATTTCCATGCCCGGTTTCATTCCAACAGTCTTCACACCAGTAAGCATTGTGTTGGGGATTCATTTCACCCGAATCATTCACTTTGTGGCACCGTTCACATAGGTAGGACCGAGCATTTAAAAGCCATAACATTTCTTTTTGGTTAATTCCAGGGCTTTGCAGAAGAGTATATACCTCCTTATAGGTTGATACGCTGTGAAGTTCAGATTCGTAGCTACGAAGAATATCCCACCAGCGGGCACCATCATTTGAATAGCGAGGAATACAATTAACAACACTTCCGATTTTTATTTCAGGATACGCCTCGGAAAAAAAATCAACATATTCACCTTCATATTCGGTAAATGATTTTTCAGATTCATCCACTCGTACCGAAAGAAAAGCACGTTTAATCGCATTGTCTCCTTCGGGAGCCGATTCCACTTTTGATACGGTAAAAAATATTGTCAACGAAGCTGGTGGCTTCCATAGGTAAGCAAACGGACTAGTGTTGTCGGAAACACTAGCATCATCACAAACAAACACAATACCCTGTATTGCATGATCGCTTGAAAAGGTTTTAATTAAAGTTTCAGTTTTATCAATTGAGACATACCCAGCTTTGAGAACCACAATATGATTATAAGTTGCATGCGGACAAGAGTCCTCTTCGTTTAAGTCTGTATTTTCTAGTAAGTGCCATCGATCAATAAACATTCTATCATACACCTCTTTTCCGTGGAAAATAAATACATCTTCAATCATAATGCGGTATTCTAAAATGTCATAATGAGATGAAGTCAATGTTCCTTTAAAAAGACAACCCCTTAGGGGTTCTGCAACTCCTAATAACACATTTGGTAAGCCAAAAATACTAAATTTACAAAGATCGACACCAAAAACATTTCCATCATTATCTGTACCTAATAAAATTGGAGTGCCAAGTGATTTGCACCTTGCAAAAAAAAGATGATTTGCAAAGTGATCCGCCGCATCTTGAAGAGTCGTGAGAGTAAGCAACTTCTCCTTTAGTAATTTTGTCAAACCACTAAGGCGGAAAGTATGGATAGCATTAACAGCCGACATAAATGTTGAACTGCGCATTGACCCGCAAATACTTTGCGGGATCGGAGGATAGATTAAATTAACGGTATCAAAAGAATAACGTCTTTCCATAATTTCGTCAAAAGACGCATTTTCAAAAAATGGTGCTTTCTTATTTAACATGTTGAGCTCATAACTTCCAGGAACCAAATCAAGTCTGCTGAACGAAACACCGATGATGGTGGTTGCAGTGTCAGCACAAAGATTCCCGATATAACGCAGTACATCACAAATTTGGAAATTATCGTCATTTTGAGAAATAATTGGATTTATGTAAAGATGAGCCACATAGGTTTTTTCCCATCTGCAATCGCCATTTAAAATAAATAAATATGATTTTTCAAAAGTTTCAAGACTTTGACGCGTGCGTTCAGGATCGTTTACAAAGTAATCCATTTCCAAAGAAAAATCGGATACTGAGCCTTCAAGATATTTTTCTCTAGCATTCTCTCCTATTGTAATCACAATACCGAGAGGATTTTTAGGCCCACATAAAAAAGGAATAATCGACGAAATAGGAAGAACACGTAAAGGTTGCAGACTAGAGTCTTTGAGTAGTTGTTCTTGAATTTTTCGAACTGCATCTAAAGACGAACATGCAGCAAAAAAATAGTGGTGATAGGTTCCACCTATATAACCCTTATTTAAACCAACTAAGGATCTGACGTAGCCCATCGAAATGAATTTAGGATCACTGCAAATTTTATCAAAAAAAGATTTCCACATGTTACTGATGAGAACAGACCCATTGAAGCCAAAATATCCAGCTATATTGAGGCGAACCAGATAGCCAGGAGCATTATTTAGAATATTAATATTTTTTACATCAGCATGAAGACTGAGAATTCGCCGCGACAATAAAAATCCTGATCCTTGCATTGTATTACCATCTAGGTATGGAACATTTGTTGCTGACATAAAGATTGTGCTTAGAAAATAGTAGAGGCTCTCTTCGTCAAGACCTCCACGAACAGCGACCATATCTTTAGAGAAAATTAAAGAATAGAGGTTTTGAACCTTGGCGGTTGAAGATAATTCCGTTGTCTTTTGCAGTGGAACATCAATGCGATACTGATAAAATACTATATCAATTCTGGAAGAAAGTGGTGAATAAATTGCTCCTGGTGGAACAAAAGACTTTGCATTTATATTGAGCATGTATGAAAGGCTATAAAAACGACAATGAAAATGAAAATTTTTGGAAAAGGTATATAATATGAAGAAGTAATTATTTTTTCAGCAAATGCAAATCAACATTTTGATGCTATTTGAATAAAAAAAATAGCACGCCGTAGAACTACAGGTTAAGGATATTTTTTTTTTACATTATTGTATTATTATAAAAAATATATAAGGGTATTTTCCTAATTGTTATTTTAACGATTAAAAAATATATATGATTATTAAAGATATTTATAAGTAAAAAAAAGAAATTAATCGTACTCTATTAAGGAAGCACTTCAAATTCAAAGTGACATATAGTGAAAATAGCTTAAGAAAGCAAAATATCATATAATCCCTAATTTCAAGAGACGAAAGTATTGTGAAATGGAAATAATTTTGCATATATGAAGGTTTCCATTCTAGAATATACAAAGGTTTGACTTAATTATAAAATTTATGAACAAAAAACATTTCACGCATTTATGAACAGAAAAATAGAAGAATGAAAAACCTGATCACATACATGCATTTAATCATTAAAAGAAAAGAAAGTTAAGTCGCTTTCGTAAACCTAGGAAAATAAAATAGGGGATTTGAAGAAAAGTCACGGTTATTGAAGCCGCATCGCACCCCTTCACCAGAAACAACGGAACTTTATCTCAGCGATTTAACGTGACGGGTAAAAATGGTTTATCCCGCTTCAATAAATAATGCAGTTCGTGGTGGGAATGATAAAAATATACGGCGCGGAAGGGCCCCACAGATGCCCCCCCACACACCCTACACACCCTTGAGCTGGAAGATGGGCTTGCCCACATCATTTTTACCAGAGTTTAGCAAAAAGAAGAGTTTATATGAACCCCAATGAAAGAACCTACGCTCGACCAAGGTTCTTTCCCTGTTAGAAAAAAAGCCAAAAATATATTCAAGGGGGCCAAAACCCAAATATAAGCTTCAATTAAAAATATTCACGGCGCCAAATCAAAAAAAAATGC